CATCTGAACCAACATGGCTACCACAGCATCTGAACCAACATGGCTACCACAGCATCTGAACCAACATGGCTACCACAGCATCTTACAGCAGCAGCTGTTCCATCACAGGACAATGAGCCCAAACACAGCTCCAGGCTGTGTAAGGGCTATTTGACCAAGAAGGAGACTGATGGGGGGCTGGCCTCCACAGTCACCGGACCTGAAACCAATCAGGTGAGCTGGACTGCAGAGTGAAGGAAAAAGAGCCAATAAGTGCTAAGTATCTCTGGGAACTCCTTCAAGACTGTTGGAAACAATTTCAGGTGACTACCTGTTGAAGCTCATCAAGAGAATGCCAAGAGTGTGCTAACTAGAAATAGGATGGAGAGTTTTGTAGTCACTGAACTTTAAACTTTTGAAAAAAAAAAAAAAAGCTAAAAGCAGTTTTCAAATTTGGCACTGTACAAAAACAATTTTTAGGCAGAAATTGGCATGGCCTTTGTCATGTGACTCAGTTGTGCCCAGGGATTGTGTTGGTATAAGTCAAATAATTTTGTGACTCTTGGTTTGTGTTTTATTTTTTGTATTTACTTTGTCCTGGAGGACTGAGAATTACACACCAGCATGTTGTAAAATGTTATTTTCCTTTCTCAACAGGTTGTCAGTCAAGTCCCTGTCACACTTTGACGTTTTAGACAACTTATGCCAACTTACGAAATTTTTAAAGTCATCTGTGCTAAAGATGGAATTGAAAAAATCAACTGGAAGCTTCTTTTAGATGTGTACAAACTGTAATTCTAACCAATTGATCCAATATGCAACTTTTATTTGCAATTTAGACATTAAAATGTTTCTTACGTTGGCATAAGTTGTCTAGTGTGACAGGCCTTCAGCTGGGGAGGACATGAAAGTCATTTATCAAACATGTGGTCAGCCAGGCAGTGTTGAAGCATGCAAGTGTTCATTTACTGTGCTTGGTTCATTTTTGCAAACGTTTCTGTTTTGCTTTGCTCCACACCCCACAAAGGGGGCTGACAGTGGGCTGATACCAGACAGTTAGTAAAACTTCTTGTGATGTACTTAACTTGAGAGGGAGGACAGATGGGGAGCTGGTGAATGTAAAGATCAGGCTGCAGACAGTAAAAATTCTCTGAGGGGGCATCAAAGTCTCATTTACACAGAGGCAAAAAGGATGAACAGTGGGGAATTAATGAAAAGGGAAAGGGTTAGTGAACTCACCCAAAGCCAGACACCATGCGACAGAAGAGGAACATGCCGTAGCCTTGAACAAAGGAGGATAGGAAGGCAAAGAAGCCGTTGAAAGACAAGGATATCAGCAGGCACTGTCTGCGGCCCACCTTATCTGACAGGCCGCCCCAAAAAAATGCTCCGAACATCATCCCCAGATACACAATGCTGCCTGGAGAAGGGAAGCAAAACCCACAGAACAAATTTAGACAAACTGGACTCCTTCAACTAAACTAAAATAAACAAACACGCATATTAAATGTTTCTTAAAGGAATCCATACCACCTGTAGACTTTAACATCAGAGTTTAAAATGAAAATCATCTCATGATGAGAATAAATGGCATTAATAGTTTTGGTCAAAACTTGTAAATAATAATATCTTCAATCTTATAATCTTGAGGATTTGTTAAAGGGGCAATATCATGTAAAATCAACTGTTTTGAGTTTTATATCATGTTATACTCTCATAAAAAACATGCCCAAAGCCTTGCTTTGACTCATTCATCATGTTTGAGAAATCCTGCAGTGTTTTTAGGAAGTCATGCTGTGGAGCAAAACGACAGGTGGGGACCAGAAACACCTTTTGGGACCAGAAACACCTCTGGGACCAGAAACACCTTTTGGGACCAGAAACACCTCTGGGACGTCTCTTTAAGCTGAACTTCCTCATGGCAGAGCACACCCCCTCCCCCCTCTCCCCACACACCCCGCCCATGACTCCTGCAGGCTCTCGGCAGTAACAGAGCAAAGTGAAAGTGAAACTTAAACTGTCTGCTGAGATCCACTACTTCTCACTCAGTGAAGCTCTTTTCAGATTCAAAACACTTTTGAGGAAATGTATTTTCAGATGCCAAGTAAACTGCATCATAGCACACGCATTTGTGTGGAACACTCAAAAGGTTTAGGAACCATACAGTAGTGTTCTGGAGGGTGGGTCTCATCTCTCCCTCAGGTAAGATGAGTCAGCCATCTTGAATTTGACTCGATGCGGAGCAGTTTTGGCCAAAAAACAAACTTTTGGGTGTAATTTATTTAATTATTCTTTTTAAATTTTACAAAAACTATCAAAATCACCAAACTACTAGAATTTACTAAATAAACAATACGCATTATATTATATATATACTGTATATTACTGTACACAAAAAATAAATGCTAATATTATTTGACCAGTAATATTTAAGTTTTTTTTTCTGGACAGCACATAAACATGAATATATTAAATAACTTCTGCTCTTCTGGACTAAAACTGAGGGTGCATGCACACACAAAGGCTGCTGCTCCTCATTCCCTTGCTTCACTTTTCAAGGAGAGGACAAGACATGGTGGAAATAAAACATAAGTTGTCTGGTTTCTTTTGCTTGAACACATTTGTTGGTGTGCAATAGTTTGATGACATAATGTAGGTGATATTTAGTTGTCAGGGAACAGGGAATGCATATTGTAGCATTCTGCTGTGTTTGGCTGTTTGTCATGTGACTGCAGTGGAGGACTGTGGGTAGGATTCATGTTTGTTGTTGTTAAATCATTTTAAGGAATTGGTTAACATTGTTCTTTCAGCAATTAGTCTGTTGTGTTACTGTAATTTGTGTGTTCGTTATTTGTTAACTTGTGTTAAAGCATTCAGCAGAAGTAACCATAAGTGAGAGTGGTAGGCCTAGTCATTAATAAGACCTGTGAGKTWCHYWTTGTCTGTGTTGTTCATGAAGAAGAATCCAATAAAGGTTCTTCAAAACTGCCACCTGGTGGTGAAGTCTTGAACTACAGAAAGAGCTACGCCTCTCTGTAGCTGTGAGGTGTCATGCTACAATATTGTGCTTGGCGCATGTGCACTGTTATGAGTTGAAAATATAGAAAATTTTGTGTGTATTTCCACCATTATATGAGCTGAAAATTTTTGACCAGAGCAATAATTTCCAATTTTGGAAGACATGCAAGAGAAGCTTAAAAAGCAAGATCAGGAAAAAAAAATAAATGTCATTTACAGTTTTGACCAAAGAAGCATCTTCTCTCACCAATCTTAGTTTTAAAAGTTTGTGTGAAAGGCAGTGGGTAAAATGCATTCATTCAAGGAATGCCATGTTTGCATGGTTTTGTGAACACTGCTGTAAATGGTGGTAAAATGTAGATTAGACTCCCTTTTGGCTCTGAATAAAATGAGTGCTCCGGGTAGAGGATGTTTTTGAAAGTCACTGCTGCAAGACAAAAAAAAGTATTATTGTTTTTTTAATTAGACATCTGTCACTGTAGCTACTTATTTAGGAAGTTTGAAGTCATTTAGCTTCCTTTTCTTTTGCTGTGGATAGAGGTGAAAGTTGGCAAGCCAGTCAAAAGTCTACTTTATTCTAAATGTGTATATAAAAATGCTAAAGGTAGCAGAAGTGGAGATGCAATTGTTTGATGAGGCAGTACAGAAATAAGCTGGCAAAGGAAAAATAGTCTTCTCTTCTTTTCCCCTTGCTGTGTTAGTGGTGATGGGACAGATACACTGAGAGTAGGGGGTCTTATCACACAGTGCAGATGCACTGAGTGAAAGTGATTCATTACAGGTGACAGTGACTGGATCTATGCACTGCTACTGCAGAGGAGCTCTTACAAGAAATAAAACAAAGTGTAGGATACAGCTGGTTTTCAAACATCACATGGAAATCTTCTGTATTGTGCACAAAAAGGTGACAACTTCTGATATGTGTTCATACATCTGAACACATCCACCAAAAGAGATTATATCCAGGAGCAGCACTTTGTTTGTTTTATGGCTCCCCTCATGCTGGGTTTTTACATGCAATAAAAAGGAGGGGGAAGGTAATAGAGAAGCGCTATCTCAGATGCAGAGAGAAAGCTTTAGAGATTGATTTTTTTTATTCCGTCACGGTTCAAACGCAGGTCAGATTTTAAGATCATTTGTGTAAATTACATAAGGCTCATCTAAATGCACCAAAGCTTAGAACAAAAAATTTACTTTATGCATTTAGTAAATCGTGTGATACTTGTTAGTACCAGAATTACTTTTTTGTTTGTTTTTTATTGTTGTACTCCTTTTTCTTTGTTTACATTAATTTTAATAACACATCACAAAAATAATTTCATGCCACTGAGATGAACAGTTGTTGAGATATTTGCAGTAACAGGAAGGGATGTAAAAGGGATGTGTCTGAATGTGGCTGTGTCTCAAATCATGGACTGGGTCCTCATGAGTGCGCATTTGTCATCCGCATACAACACTACCCCCCGCAGAGGACTGTCCCAATTCGAAGACTCCTCCTCAAGCAGCCAAGGAATGCGGCCTAAAAACTCTCAAAATGCAAGGATGCATCCGTGTATCCTCACCGACCGAGGATAGCCCAGGATTCAATGCGCGGGCAGCAAACTAAAGACAGAAATGAAGACAGTGGAGTTTTATTTTTTTTAATGAGTCGGCGTAGTTTGGAAATTCACCACGGACCGAAGGATTTGTTTTGAAAAAGTAAGTTTAGAAACTTAGATGAGGAAATTTATGCTGCAATAAGATGTTACCGTAAATAAAAAATGCAACAACTTCAGAGAATAAAGTCATAACATTACAAGATTAAAGTCATAATATTCTAACCTACATGAAAAAGCATGCAGTTATCACTGCATTAAAAAACTAAAACGTTGAGCAACTTAAGTTGTTCTTTAGTATTGCTTAAAATGAATAGTTAATGTGTTTAGCATATCAGCATCAAATTTTCAGTAACAGGACTTGGATATTGTGCAAATGACTATAAACTGAAGCTGTATTAATTAATGGATGTGTTGACAAATGTAGTCAGCACATAGCTAATTTGGATGAAAGCATATTAATCTAACAGTGACCCAAGTCATCGCAGACTGCTTTATAAACACAAACACATGGCTGTACACAACAGGTGTGGGGAAATTAAGGAGAAAATGAGGAATTGAAAATGGACAGATCATGCAAGATTATGACTTTTTTCTCGAAATATTACGACTATTCTCATAATATAATGACTTTATTGTAGTCCGTCCGTCCGTCCGTCGGTCCTTTTTCTGCCGCTTATCCAGGGTCAGGTCTCGGGGGCAGCAGCCTAAGCAGAGAGACACAGACTTCCCTCTCTCCAGCCACTTGGACCAGCTCCTCTGAGGGAATCCCAAGGCGTTCCCAGGCCAGCTGAGAAACATAGTCCCTCCAGCGTGTCCTGGGTCTTCCTCTGGGTCTCCTCCCAGTGGGACGTGTCCAGAACACCTCACCAGGGAGGAGTCCAGGAGGCATCCTAACCAGATGAACCACCTCAACTTGCTCCTCTGGACGTGGAGGAGCAGCGGCTCTACTCTGAGTCCCTCCTGGATGACTGAGCTTCTCAGCCTATCTCTAAGGGAGAGCCCAGMCACCCTGCAGAGGAAACTCMTTTCAGCTGCTTGKATCTGTGATCTCCTTCTTTCAGTCACTACCCAAAGCTCCTGACCATAGATGAGGGTAGGAACGTAGACCGACTGGTAAACTGAGAGCTTTGCCTTCTGGCTCAGCTCTCTTCACCACGACAGACCGGTACAGCAGACACAGCACCAATCCACCTGTCGATCTCCCGATCCATTCTTCACTCATTTGTGAACAAGATGCCGAGATACTTAAACTCCTCCATTTGGGGCAGGACCTCTTCCCCAACCCGAAAGAAGCACTCTACCCTTTTCCAACTCAAGACCATGGTCTGGGATTTGGAGGCACTGATCCTCATCCCGGCTGCTTCACACTCGGCTTTGAACCGCTCCAATGAGAGCTAGAGATCAGGATCTGTTGAAGCCAACAGGACCACATCATCCACAAAAAGCAGAGATGTGATCCTAAGGTCACCAAAAAGGATCCCCTCAACACCTTGGCTGCTCCTAGAAATTCTGTCCATAAAAGTTATGAACAGAATCGGTGACAAAGGACAACCTTTGATGAGTCCAACTCTCATCGGAAACGAGTCAGACTTACTGTACTACTGGCAATGTGGACCAAGCTCTGCCACCGGTCATACAGGGACCTAACAGCACGTATCAATGGGCCTGGTACCCCAATGTCCAACCATGCTGGCAGCACCCCCCCACACACACACACACAAACATACACACATAGCACATCTCTATTGTGAACGTTGTATCAGGCAGGCTGACAGGCTACCCCCCCACAGCCAAAGCAAAGCCA